TCACAGAGCTTTTGCTGTCTCCATCCTGCAGAGAGGTCCTGGACTATGTAAACCTCTTTCCTCACCCTCTCCCACCCTCGCCCCCTCCCAGTGTTCTGAATGCACCACACGGCAGCACCATCTATTTAGGAACCACTCATCAACATATCATAGACTCTGCTCCCATTTCACAGCTGAAGAAACTGTCCACTGTGACCCTTACAGGAGGACACACATAATAAATTTGATTTTAACCTAGAGGCCCAGTGCATGAAATTCATGCACAGGTGGGGTCCCTAGGCCTGGCTAGCGATCAGGGCCTATCGGGGCCAGGCAGGCCAGGGCCTGCTGGACAGGGAAAGGGACAGGAGGGAGGGACCATGGGAGGTTGGCTGGCCATGAGAAGTTCGATGTGGGAGCACACTGACCACTAGGGAGCAGCTCCTGCATTGAGCGTCTGCCCCCTGGTGGTCAGTACACATCATAGCGACTGGTCGACTGATTGTTCCAGTCATTCTGGTCGTCAGTCGTAATGGTGGCTTAGGCATATATATATATATATAGATATAGATTAGTGCTCAAAAAATATTTCTGTCAACAAATTGTCATGCTTCCTGGAATTTTATGGTGACAATGTACAAGTTCCCTTTTTATGTTGGCTACTAGGAAGCTCAGAGTTAAATCTAGTACACAGTGGCAGTAGCGGTCACACTCTAGGCTTCTGGTTCAGTAATCTTTCCTTTATAAATGCTGTACCATAACCTTTTGTGAGTCTTGAAGTGCTCTGTATGTGGTTTAATGTTATAAGTGCCCTCAAATCCTTTTTGGAAGTCAGGGCTTCTTTGGAACATTCTTGACTTTCCCCATATCTTTATTAAAATCCTCCACAGTCTTCAAAACCCAATTCGCCATTATCCCGCTGCTCAATTGTTATAAACAGGTTGTTTTTCTATATATATATACTAACTTACACAGTACGGGGATATAAATACATTTGACAAAAATGACTTGATAATATATATGTTTTGCAGGTTGCTTTTTTCGCTTACTACGTATCTCAGCAATTTTTGTATGGCTCTGACTGTCTGTGCCAATCCCTACCAGCTTCTTTGCACGTGGCTTTGGGATGTAATTCTCTATGTCCAGTCTTCCCTTCTCAACTCCGTCCCTAGATCAGGACATCTGTGTTGGACTGACTACATAGAGCACAGGCTCTGGGCATGCGTTTATTCACTAACTGTGCATTATGCTCCTACCATGTGCTAGGGGGGCCCTGAGCTCAGCACTGAGGGACACAGACATGAGCAAGATCAGCATCTGCTGTGTGCAAGGATGGGTACGTACTGTATCTGTGCCCTGAGTACAGTAGCTTTAGCTACAGACAGCGTTTGAACTCCTGAAACATGGCGACTCCTCACTGAGTTATGCTGTACATGTAAAATACATAGTGGGATGGGAAGACTTAACATGAAAAAAAATAAATAAAGCACCCAACTGATCATTTTTATATTGGTTAGCTGTTAATATGAATTTTGACATTTTGGGAAAAATAAATATGTCTAAAAATCAATCCACTTGTTTATTTTGACTTTGAAAAATATGGCTGGAGAAAATTTTAAATTATATGCATGGCTCACATTACATTTCTAGGTCCGGCAGTCATGAAAACGAGTATTTCTGAGGCCACTCCACCCTGCGCAGTGGACTGGTTCTCTTGGTTTAAGGGGACAATCACATTTTATGCAAACTGGACTCCTGCTGGTATATCACTTTTTTTAAATCACACTTTATTGTGCAAAAAATGAATTAGTGGGAATTCTTTATTTTAAAAAGTTAAATTCTTAAATGTTGCGGTATCTCTAAGCTAATGGGCCAAAGGTATGGCAATCTGTGCTTGCTTTTGCTCCAGGGCAGGGCCATGATGCGAGTGAACAGAGATGGTTATGGTTAAGGTTTCTGAGCACCTACTATGTGCCAGACACCTTTACACTTACAACTCACTCGGTGCTCACCAGCATCCTCTGCGGTGAAACCCCACCATCCTTTCTCAGAGATGGTCTTGGATCATGCATGAACCGGGGCCTTCAGAGACCCATCCCTCGGACCCCATGGCTGTCTTTATGTAAATTGTGATGTAAATGATGCTTAATAGGTGCTCAGAGAGGTGGAAGGAGCTGCCCTACATTACACAGCAGCGCTCTTCCCAGGACATGAGAATTAATGAGAATTAATCAGAATATATAAAATGCAATATAATGCCATGCCATATAAAACCACACAATATGCTCTCTTACCTCCCAGAACTGTGATACTTACCACAAATCAAAGAGATGTTGGCTTCTGTGTTAAATGAATACAAGCACAGTGGAAAGCAGTGAGTCTGAATTCCTTACTTTAGTCACTAAAGGCAACTGAAACATAAACCCCTTAAGTCCTGAGGTGGTAAATTGTTCCCAGTTCCCACCAGGACAGACAAAACAGCATCCTTGTGAATAAAAAGAATTCTTTTCAAATAACTCCCCTAAGCCTAAGAATTTGGACCCCGCACCCCCTTAAACCACTAACACATGTTTATTTTAACAAGTAGAACTGAGTTCTGTTTTAGGAGAAAATTTCAATTGTGCACAGATGAGGAAAACAATGACTTCCTTATGTGGCTGCTCACAGCCTGTCTCCTCAGCAAATACCTGTGTGCCTTTTGAGAAAAGAAGTGAAATATTTCTGCCACTTTTGCAACGAGACTTGACTCTGATCTGGTGAATGTGTCTTCTTTAAGTGTCTTTAAATTAATTAATTAATCCATCAGCACCGTCTGCCAGCTCTCCCTCCAAAATGGCCCTGAATCTGCCTGCTGCTTCTCTCCTCAGTAGCCACCACCGTGGGCCGGGCCACCATGCTCTCAGGCCTGGACAATTGCAGTGGACAGTGTTCCCTGCCCTGATCCTACAGTCCATCCTCAACCCAGAAGCCAGTGGGATCATTTAAATTGAATCCTATCACTGTCCTGCCTAAACCTTTCCATGGTTTCCCATCACCCTTAGAGTCTAATCCAAATTCCTCACTGGCTGTTCAGGATGTGGCAACCTCATCGCATACCATCCTTTCTCCTACCTGTGATCTCTGGCCACACCGGCTGCCTTTCAAGTGCCTCATTCTCTCCAAGCACATTCCAACCTCAGGACCTTTGCACTTGCTGCTCCCGCTGCCTGGAACACTGTTTCCTCACATGTTTCATGACAGGCTCCTTTGTGTCGTTCAAGCCCTAGGTCCAATATCACCTCCTCTGAAAGGCCTTCCCCAGCCACCCTATCTAAAGAGGCCCCATAGAGCCCTGTGTGGCTCCTTTGGTTGGGCAGTGTCTCATGCACTGGAATGTTGCTGGTTCGATTCCTGGCCAGGGCAAATGCCCAGGTTGCAGGCTCTATCCCCTGTAGGGGTCGTGCAGGAGGCAACTAATTGATGTTCCACTCTCAGGTCGATTTTTCTCTCTCCCTCCTTCCCTTTCCCTTCCTCTCTCTAAAAATCTATTTAAAAATCTTAAAAAAATAATAAAGCCTGGCTGGTGTGGCTCAGTGGTTGAGTGTTGACCTATGAACCAGGAGGTCACGGTTCGATTCCTGGTTAGGACACATGCCTAAGTTGTGGCCTCAATCCCCAACTTGGGGAAAGCATGGGGCATGCAGGAGGCAGCTGATCAATGATTCTCTCTCATCATTGATGTTTCTCTCTACCCCGCTCCCTTTCTCTCTGAAATCAGTAAAAATATTTTTTAAATACATACATAAATAAAATAAAGAGGCCCCACAGAGAAGTTCCCTATCATATCCTCTTTTATTGTCCTCACACTTTTCAGTAAAATCTATCTTTTTATTTATTTGTCTGTTTATTGCCTGTGTCTCCCATTCATCCCCAGTGTGACCTCCATAACTTGCTTGTCTTATTCGTGGTTTAGAAAAGTGCTCAATAAATATTTGCTGAGTGCCCTAGCTAGTTTGGTTCAGTGGATAGAGCATTGGCCTGCAGACTGAAGGGTCCTGGGTTCGATTTTGGCCAAGGGCATATGCCCGGGTTGCAGGCTCGATCCCCAGTAGGGGGCGTGCAGGAGGCAGCTGATCAATGATTCTCCCTAATTGATGTTTCTGTCTCTCTCTCTCTCATTCTCCCTTCCTCTCTGAAATCAATAAAGAAATATATATATAAGAAATATTTGCTGAGTAAATGAATGAATGATCAAATAAATCAATGAGACAAGAGTAAGAGAGAGAGAGGGAGAGGGAGAGAAGAAGGGTTATAAAGCGATCATAAAATGACAGGAGGAACATGGTGCCTTGAATATTACTTAGCTGGAATGTTTGAGACACATTATATGACTTATCTTTGTCACTTAATAGAAAATGGTAATTTATTAGATAATAATAGTATAGTTTTACTTTAGTGTTTGCATGAGTGATCTGTACTGAGTATCTGTCCGCCCACATGCTTTCTCTCATCCTTCCAACCCCTGCAGTAGGTTGTGTTATCAGCTCCCTTTGCTGATAAGGAACTGACACTGGGGAGCAGGGGGAGTGAGTGAGGTGCGGGTGGTGTTGAGCAGCTCAGGGTCAGCTCAGTCTTTCTGAGCCCTGAGCCGGCTGTGCCCACCACCCACTCTGTTCCCATGCTCTGCTTACTGAATTTCAATGATTTATTGATTTATTTTAAATTTTGTTTTATTGCTTTAAAGTATTACAAAGAGTATTACATATGTCTCCTTTTCCCCCCGCCCTTGACAATCCCCTGGCCTCCCCTACCCCCCGTGTCTTATGTCCATTGGTTATGGTTATATTCATTGTCTGTAGTTTATCAGTCTGTTCGATGCTACTCTGCCTCTGTATCTATTTTTGTTTATCAGTTTATAATGGTCTTTATTATCCATAAATGAGTGAGATCATGTGGTATTTTTCTTTCATTGACTGGCTTATTTCACTTAGCATAATGCTCTGTTCCATCCATGCCGTTGCAAATGGTAAGAATTCTTTCTTTTTTACAGCAGCATAGTATTCCATCGTGTAGATGTAGCACAGTTTTCTAATCCATTGATTTAGTCTCTGAATATACTCGCCATAACAAGGGTCCTTCGTAGCATGACTGTAAAAATGTGTCAGCTCTGTACTGTGTGTGGTTGACGTGGACGTGAAGAAGCCCAAAGATGGCAAGGGCAGAGCGAACTCCGCGTGGCAAGGGTCGGGGAGTGGGGCTGACGAGGGAGGTCTGACGGGGAAGGAGAGGAGAAGCCAGCCTGGGGGGCAGAGTGCCTGGAACCCAGCATCAAAGGCCCCTGCCTGGGCTCGGGCCAGCAGGGCTCACCTCCCTTCTCTCTGCCGCAGGATGGGGTGCGTGAAGTCCAAGTTCCTCCGGGATAGAGACAAGGTCTCAAAGAGCGAGGCCAGTGCCAACCCACACAGCCCGCTGTATGTGCCAGATCCCACGTCCACGGGCAAACGGGTGAGTGGGAGAGGAACGGGGTGGGGGAGGCTGCCCTATGCTGATATAACAGCCCCCTATTTTCCAAGGGTGGGCAGGCATGTTTGGGGTGAAATGGGGTTGACCAGTCACCAGCAGCCTCCTAACTCTCCAGCACATGTCTGCACTGAGCACCCAGGGCAAGAACACCACTTCTTCGTCTTTTTTTTTTTTTTTTTAATCCTCTTTTAAATATATTTTATTGATTTTTTTACAGAGAGGAAGGGAGAGAGATAGAGAGTCAGAAACATCGATGAGAGAGAGACATC